AACAAAGCACTTTTTTTTTTTTTTTAAGCACTGTGGTAGAAATAGCTTGCATTTCTACTATGAATCCTGGGAAACTCAGAGCAGTTTTCAAATGGTATCTTCCCAAAAAGACAGTACGTTTATTTCCCCTTTCCTGTAAGAAAGTACATAATTCATTTTCATGAAATGATTTGCTGAGTTTGAGACAATGTGTAGTTTTTCTTATCAAAGACAGTCTTTAAAGAACTGAAAGGTCTTCATCATGACAAGGTCAAGGAAAAATTGCCCTCATTGTCTTCTTGTTTTTTCATGTTAGGCAAGAGCACGCTTCCTAAGTGGGCAATAAGAAGGCTGTCTTTCCGTTGGGAGGCTTTATGCCCCTTAAGGTTGACCTTGACTTGGTCAAAACTGTATTCAATTACCTCCGAGAAGTACGCAGGAAAGATTTTCTTTGATTTTTTAATAAAATAGGAGAAATAGCAAGAAAGATTTTCTTTGAATTTTTTATAAAATAGGAGAAATACATTAACTCTAGTAGCTTGTGGAAGTGTTCAGGTAACCTCAAAGACCTAATCTGTTAGAGAACAGATTAGACCAATGAGTTTTCCTCCATTCCAGAAAGGAGTCAGTAATGTATGAGAGTGTCTACATATTCCAGTCACTGAATCCCCAGAAGCTACATGTCAAAGTTCTTTTTAGTTCTGTGTAGCTGTTGGTGAAGGTCTTTTCCTTGAGGATGACATCTGCAGACCAGGGGTACAATTTCTAGTTCATTTAGTTGAGTTTTCCTTTTCTGTCATTAGAATTTTTTCTGTTCCTTAAAGGTTCCTAGTCTAGGTTAACAGGCACTTAATCTGGAGTGCATGGGCCCTGCAGTCAATGTATTTCCTGGACATCTGCAAAATCTTGTATGCACATTAGGGTTTTTGTTGTTGTTGTACAGGCAGGGTTCATAGTTTGTATGACTCTCAAAGATTAATGTAGAAGCCTGATTTAGGGACTACTCATTCTGCCCCCATCTGAGGTTTCCCTTTTATCCCCAGGTTCAGCAACTAGTTCCTAGGTTTAACTACTTATTATTTAATGAAGCCCAGAGACGAAGTGATTTACACATTTTTATGTGTAAATTTGATCTAGATTGAGTGTCAGTTCTTTATACTTTAGCTCCGATTTCCAAGCTGGAAGTGACTTGGATACCATCTAAACCCTCTTTCCAGGGGCTTTGTCTTTGCTGCAGCCTGCCCAGCTCTGTCCTTAGGCCATACTTACTGGTACCCTTGAAAAACTTACAGGATGTTCAAATCTGTCCTGAGCTATAACTGGCTCTAAAGGGTTTTTTCTTTTCTTTCTTTCTTTCCTTTTTTTTTTTTTCCCCCTTCCCAACCTGAGAGAAATTAAGCACTGTAGCCAGGAATTCTTCAGGAGCTATTCCAGGTATGTTCTTCCCACATATCCGGGAGCTTTTATACCTTCATACTTTCCTTAGTTGTTTTTGGTTGTCCTCTCTCTTCCCTTCAGCAAGATTTATTTAAGTGGAGAAAGGATAGAAGAGGAAGGCCATTGAGGGATTAGGTGAGCAGGTGCTTGGGGAACTCTCTGTACCTGCCAAGTGACCTCTTAAAAAACTAGTGTTGAGGGCTCTCCCTGGTGGTGCAGCTGGTTGAAGCACAGCACTGGGAGACTAAAGCCCCTTGTGCATGAGTTCCATCCCTGCCCCTGAGGTGATCCACCTGGCATGGCAGACCCCTCCTGACCCCCGCTGCCCCCCTCAGCAGTGTATTTCGTAAGTCATCCTGTTCTGCTCCCCACTCTGTCTCTGGTGAATCCTCTCACCGTCCCTGCACCTCTGGCCTGTACCCCAGCTCTGTATGCACAAATAAATAAATCTTTAAAAGAAAAATAGTGTTGAATATTTTTCTTTTAATTTCCCAATCATGGTGTGAATTCTTCTTTGCCAAATGGCTTTTGGGGCTTTGCCTGGACTCCATGTGCCTGAGTCGGGGACTCATCTTGGCCAGACACTGCTGCATGTCGAAGAGGGAGCCGATTCCAGGAAAGCACAGACAGCAGCGGCTCTTAGAAATCTCTTCTCGATTGGGTCAGCCAGGGCACCACACTTTGGACCATCTGGAAAATTTGGACTTGAGCACCAATATCTGTCTCATACATATTTTTCTTTTCATTTCCTAAGTTTCGAAAAACCAATTCTTGTTCATTTGAGATACTTCTTTATTACTACTTTGTCTGTGAGTGTTAAGAATAGTGTGCCCAAGAGCAATAAGGAAGATCATCAGAAGAAGGACTGGGTGCCCTGGGTGGATCTGCATGGCTACAGTTGGCCACCAGGTGCTCAGTAAATAGCTTTTGATTGAATAAGTCTGGAAATCTCTGACCCATACTATTGGTGGTCAAAATGTTTCTTTGAAATTCTAGGTACTTGAACAAGTGACAGTGTTATTTTTCCTTTCTTTTCTCTCCTTAAATGTGCCTCTTTCTGTTTAGTTTGTACTACAGTTTGAATCTTTGCTGCTGCTGTTTCTGTAGCCTTTCTTGTTTATAGTGAGATCCATGTGTTTATTTATAAATGCGGGCAGCATCTCCAAAGTGCTGTGAGGCAGATTTTCTTTATGTCCAGTCCGGACAACTACTGAGTGTGGTATTTTGCTGTAGCTGTACATGACAACACAATTCATGAGTGCTCTGCTTTTAGCACTATACTTATGCCAAAGATAAAAATGACACTAATTGTAGCCCTCCCTGGTGGCGCAGCGGGTTAAAGCACAGCACTGAGAAGTTAAAGCCACTTCTGCATGAGTTCGATTCCCGCCTGCCCTGGAGGTGACCACATGGCGTGGCAGACCTCTCCTGACCCGCCTGCTGCTTCCCTCAGCAGTGTACTTCATTGATCTGCCTGTTCTGCTCCCACTCTGTCTCTGGTGAAGCCTCTCACTGCCCCTGAGCCTCTGGCCTGCACCCCAATTCTGTATGAACAAATAAATCTTTTTTTAAAAAAAATGACACTAATCCTGCTGCAGAAAGAAGTCATTATAGTGTAAGGTTTATGTCTCCTTTACTTTTCTATAAATGAGATAATATCTTTGAACCAATTGATGTATTCAGCCCTTTTTAAAGCCTTTCAAGTTGTTGTGATAAGTCAGTTACTTAAACATTATAGAAAGCATGGAATTAAATGTAAGGCATATCTTTGTTTCTCTTTTTGGAAATTAAGACATACAAACTCAATAATTAGTGAATGAGATGATGTTTTTCCTATAGTGCATTATTCATGGTACTTTTGTGGTACTGAAAAATAAAGGATTATATATCTAGTTGGCATTTACTGAGGGCCTCCCATGTGCTGAGACAGGGTTATTGAAAGTTAATTTAGTGCCTTATTGTCAGTGACCTGAGAGTATATTGTGATGAGTGACATTGTGTTTCCATGGGTGGTATCAACCACAGAAGGCGATACATTGAGCGGGCCAACCACCTCTGGAAGGTGTAAAGTAGTCCAGCTTTCAATCTCCTATCCCTCATGATTGTATAGAGTCAGGTCAATAATCCTTGTAAGTATTATTGCTGAGGCATTAATTAAGACCCCATTGAGTCTTCCCAGCTGAAGTGCTATTTTGTCTTTTCCCTCCATTATCAATGTTTGGTGAGTTCTCCTTGTTTAAATCTGTGGTGCTTGCATCTTGCCTAACCCATCTGCACAGAAAGAGTGACAGAGTCTTATACAAGAGCATCTGTTCAGCATCCTAATCTACCCTTTAGCTTTTCTGAGTTCATGTTGACCGGCCTTGGTGCAGGTGGTCTAGCAGGGTGCCCTTGAACTTACCCGCCCAGTGAGAATGCAGGTGATTTGTGATGATGCTAACAATAGTATCTCTGCTGCCAAAACTGGCCACAGTTTCCTATCCAGGCTCCTGGTTTTCCTGTTTTTGTTTTTCTTCCTTTCTTTTTGGATGGGGCCTAGATACAATCCATTTTATTTCTGTGTGTTCTCTGTCCTTCATTTCTTTGGAAAACCCCTTCAGGCTAATAGCTGGGATGGCAAAAGCACTGGTGGACCCCTCCCTGAGCTTCCAGCAGCTTTCTTTGGCAGCCGCACCTAGCCTTATAGAGGTTGGCGCTTACCTGGAAGAGAAGAAATCCATCGCCCAGGTGATCCAGAGAGACAAGTTCCTCCCTTCCCCCCAAGGGATTCTGTACTCCAATTTTCAGCTTAGTTTTTTGATGTGAGGGAAGGTAACTTTTACGTTGCCTTTGCCAACTTTGAAAAAAGGATGTGTTCTAATTGCTTGCAGCATTTTGTTTATTTGTGTTCCAATATTACTGGGAGCTGAATCACGTTTTGGTTGAGGTCATTGTGGGTTGAACCACCGCATAGAGCCTTTTAAAAACAATTTTATATAATTTAGTTACTTATATATATTTTCCATCACTGTTCTTTTTTCTCTCAGGTGTAGTCCCCATGGAATTCCCACCCCCAGTTCATCCATGCACCATCGCCATAATCCCCTGCCCTCTTCCTTCCCCTGTTCTGATCCCTCCTCCTCCCCCACAGAATGTCTCTTGATTTATAGTTGCCTACCAGTTTTTATTCATTTATTATTTCCCTGAACTCTTTTTTGGTTCCATGTAAGTAAAGTCATCTGATATTTCTCCTTTTCCTTTTCCTCCTTATTTCACTGAGCAAGTCCCTTCTAGTCTTTCTAGTCTATCCATGTGACTGTGAATGACACGAGTTTATCTTTTTTTTGATTGCTGATATTCCACGGTGTATAGATACCACATCTTCTTGACCCAGTCATGCATATAACCATTTGTATAGTTTAAAAAGATAAAAAAAAATTTGCATCATCATCAAGTTCAGCCTGATATATCTTCTCAATGGAACCTGAGCTAGCTTGTAATTTGTTTTTCTTAACCGCAAACTGTGAAACATATTTTTGTTGCTACATTAAGTGATTGTAATGGAAAGGCACTGCTAAGATTTCTCTCCTCTTGGTGCTTCCTAGGTCACTCTGCACCTGAATCCCATCTCCTCGGTCCACATTCATCACAAGCCTGTTGTGTTCGTGCTCAACTCCCCACAGCCCCTGGTTTGGCATCTGAAGACAGAGAGGCTTGCAGTTGGAGTCTCCAGGCTTTTCTTGGTGAGTGTTTGAAACCCTCCCAAGCAGATTCTTTGTTTAAGCTATAATGACCCTAAAACTTTGCAAAGCTTTTTAAAAGGACTATTTCATGGAAATAATACAAGTCCATAGACTGTTAAAGCTGGAGTATATTTTTAGTGATATTTGAATGGAGTAGATAAACATTCACAGAAAACAAACACCACTCACATGCCATCTTCTGGTGCTGGAGAATCAAGTCTAGTTTGTAAGTTAGAACAGGCCTGCAGTTATATTTTGTGTGGCCAGTGCTTTGGTCTCAGCTCTGAGACGGCCTTGTAGTATCAGGAGCAATGTAAATATTGTAAATAGCCACTAGGTGTGTGGTCTCTGACCACAAAATAAATACGCACAAGCCCACTCTGTTTGTATATAGCACAGGCCTAATTCCTGATACGAGAATCTGTTTGTTGAGAAGTGACACAGGGAGCTCCAAAATGAAAACATTTGTGTTTTATAAAAAAGCTGGAACCCAGCTCTTTGCAGAGATCCAAATATTACCTACTATTTGTAAATCATGTCCTTTTGAGATTGCCAGAACATTCAAATTTGCTAGTTGTGGAGAAATTGATGGGTTGTTTGGATTGAATTTTTGGGTTATGATATCATGTCTGATGATGAACAACACTGCACTTTGCAGTGATAACTCACATGGGCCATTGCTGGAGCTAACACTAATGTCCTCAACCACAGAGTCTTAGAGTTTTGAAGTTCTTTTGCCCACAAGCATCCAAAATAAGAAGAGGCCTCAGTGAACAGTCTTCCTTGCATGATGAATAAGTTTTGCCTAATTGATGACTCAATTCAGAGCTTAGTTTCTTGTCACTTGTTTGAAGAATTCTATTCAAAACTCAAAGATACTCATTAAAAGTAAGACTCCATAATCAATACAATTCATAGATAAATAACTGTTAAAGTGGAGAAGGCAAAGTTCCTCTATAGTAGAATGCCAACTGCTAAATGTGGAAGGAATGATGGAGTAGAAATTCATCATTTTGCAACCATTATAATCAAAGTTGATTAGGCAAAAATCATTCATAGGTGGTAATTCTAGCAGAGAGGCCTGAAATCTGAGCAACAGTATATGCACACAGTCTCACATTACTTACTAGTGGCAAAAGAAAAAACTAACTATATACAGTGGAGATACCCAAATACATCTTAATCAAGTGGTCAAAATTGTTACTGATATGGGACAGGTGGGTGTTGTGTGACTTTAATGTGATGACCTGAGAAAGGACAGTATCACTTAGGTGACATTACAGCCAAAAGTGCACATCACCAAAACTTAATCATAGGAAACACTTGGAAATACCAAACTGAGTAAATTCTGTAAAATAATTGGCTTATACTCTTCAAGCATGTTAGTCATGAAAGACGGAGGAAGGCTTGTTTAGGATTAAAGTAGACTCAGAGTATACTTGAGATCCTAAACTGAACTCTGCTATTCAGGGAACCGGGCTGTTGCTATTGGAATTGATCTTATGGATTAAGGTATTATGTCTGTGTTATGTTTCTAAGCTTTAATAAGTGTACTGTTGTATGCAAAAGTGGCCTTTTAAGAAAGCATAATACATTTAAGTATTAAGGGATAAAGAAACAGTTCAATAAAAAGTATGTACAGGTAAAATATAAAGCAACTAGTACAAGATGTTGAACACTGAGGAGTCAAGTTAAAGAGTATGCAAGAGTTCTTTGTACTATATTTGCAACTTGAATTTCAAAATAAAAAAAATTAACTCGGAAGTGCATTGATAAAGTGGGAGTAACTAATAATTGAAGTTGTAATCTTTTCTGAGAATTGAAACTGATTGCTTTCAAATTAAAAGTCAGAGTTAGCTGTCATTAGATGGTGATGGGTCAGGAGTGGTATGGTGCTGGGAAAACTATGGGGACTAGACCAGGGTAAAACATAAAGCTGTACAAAAATGAAAAAAAGGTGTAAAAAAATAAATAAATTTAATGAAAAACAACAACAACAACAACAACAAACCCTGCAACCAAACCCACAACAAAGCACAATTACTAGCATATTCATTTAGTTCTTATTACAGCCCAAGTATTGTATTATGTGCTTCGATGCTTTATCTCATTTACTCTCACAATAACCCTGTGGTAGGAAGGGGAACTACTCCAATTTTAAAGGTGTTTACATCTTAAACTAAAACTAAAACTTAGAGAGATCAAATAGTGATGAAGAGTAACTACGTCAGGCTGAATCAAGTAGTGGATCTTTGAGTAGGACTCCCAGGTTTCCCGTTCCTCCACATAAGTAGCCTCTTAGTTTTGCCCAGAGAATATTAGCTAAGTTACTATCATCCCCAGTATGATCAGAAATGAAAAGAAGCCAACCCTGTCATCTGTCATGCTGAAACAACAAGTAAAAGTCTCATGAAGATCATACAAGCTTGTTTTCTTTATTTATGCAGTTACTTCCACAGTAGAGAAAAAGTGGGGTAGCTCAACCTGGCAGTGTCTGAACTTTCAACCTGAGTTTCCCAAAAGATTGGCAGAGGCCCATAATAGTAGATTGTTTTCAAAAACATTTTATAATCTGAACAGATACTTTTCCAAAGAAAAAAACCATGTTTAGCAAACACATGAAAAGATGTTTAATATCATTAGTCATTAGGGAAATACAAATTGAAACCACAGCAAGATGCTACTTCATACTCACTGGTATAACTGTGATAAAGGCAGATAATAACAAGTATTGTTAAGGATTTAGGAAAATTGTAATCTTCATACACTGTGGTAGAAAAGTAAACTGATGCTCTAGAAAACTGTTTGGCTAAACACAGAACATAAACAGAAAAACTTGTCCACAAATGTTCATGGTTACATTATTCATAAAAAAAAGAAGATACAAGGCCCTCCCCAGTGGCACAGCAGGTTAAAGCACAGCACTGAGAAGCTAAAGCCACTTCAGCATGAGTTCGATCCCTACCCCAGAGCTGATCCACATGGTGAGGCAGACCTCTGAGACCTGACCCGCCTGCTGCTCCCCTCCACAGTTTGCTGTCAGTCAGCCATTCTTCTCCTCACTCTGTCTCTGGTGAATCCTCTCACCGCCCCTGCATCTCTGGCCTGTACCCCAGTTCTGTATGCATAAATAAATAAATCTTAAAAAAAAAAGATACTACCCAGTTGTTCATCAACTGTTAAATTGATTTAAAATGGGATATTCCCATATAGTGGGCTATTTCCATATGGGCAATTAAAAGGAATGAGGTCCCAATGCATATACCATGCATTCTATTAGGTGAACTGATGGGAGAAAGTGGAGAAAGGCAAATGACTAGTAATGGCATGGGATTTCTTTTGAAGATGACAAAAATGTTCTTGAATTAGGAAATAATGAATATATCACGGTTTGTACAGTTCAGAGGTGTGAATGTTGTGACATCAGTTATGTCCCTAAAGCTCTTAGCATAAAACTGGCTATAACACTTGTATTAAAAGTGATGGAATAAAATCAATGAACTATGTTTTAAGGTGTATCTTTTCGTTTTCATGTACTTACATGATCTGAAAAATAATCTTGCTTTCTTTGTTTTCCAAACCTGAGCACTCTCTTCTGTAAGGTCTACACACTTGGAATGCTGAGCCAGGCAGATATTCTGAAGATAAGACTCTAGTGCTTGGCTTCCTTCATGGAATGTCTCGTTCATTACCATGCCCCACCTTTGGTGTCAGGTTCAGTTCTCTTATTTGCTCATAATGAGTAAAAGGGCATCTAAAATAAGGAATGCTTCAAGAAATAAGCAGCACATGCCTTCAAATTCATCCACTCTTGGGATTACTGTGCTATGACTTATTTTTTCCAGCTATTTATTATTAAACCCAGGAAAGAACTATATAGAAATAAATAAATGTATGTATGTTGGAGTGGAGGAAGGGAGTAAAAAGGGGGTGCTGGCCTCTATGGTAGGGTTGTCTGTTATTAGCAAGTAAAGACTCGGATGCCTAGTTAAATTGGGATTTCAGATAAACTATCCTTTTAGTATTTAGTATACTTGGAGCTCATTGTTTATCTGAAATGCAAATATAACAGTGTGTATTGTATTGAGTCTGGCACCTCTACTCAGAGGTACCTCAGGGCTTGGTTTCTAGTTAACACCCTGGTCTTAGTGTCAGGAAGCCCGAGAACTAGTCTTTAATTTCCACTAACTAGTTAATACACTACCAGTCAAACTCCCTGGAGGAAACCTTAGTTTCCTCATCACTAAAATGAGAAGGTTGTATGAGCTAATCTCTGAAGTTCTTCCTAGCTTTCAAACTTTCTGATTCTTTGATAATCCAACTGCTGGATTTTATATCCTCATTTAATTGGAAACAGAAATGGCAATCTGAACATTGCCTCTTCAGCAAATCCGAGTAAATATCAGGGCAGGGCAGTTGAAATAAATGAGAGAAACCAAACTCTATGCTATTGACTTTGGATTAAAAGCAAATCAAAATTTAATCCTAATGAAAAATGTAAATTAATATCAGGAACAAGCTTAATATTTAAAGGTCAGTTCGTGTTTCTCAGAAGGGGGGAGGGGTGGATCAGAAGCTGGAGTTGCCAAAATCTGGTTTATACCTTTTACTTAAACTTAGAGGGGAAAAGGTCCAAATACTTTGGGCCTCTGCCACCAAACCACAGGCAGTTCTCTGGTCTGTACTGCAGCTTGGATGAGTGACAAGGCTCAGTGAAAAACAAGTGCTATTTGTTTTCTAGTGCCCAGTATTTAACTGGAAATCAGGAGGCAAAATTTCCAATCAGTTGTTAAATAGCCCCAGATGTGTGGCTTGGTAGGCAGGGACGCGCGGCCTGTCCCATGATGCTTGTCCCCTCATCCCTTTTTCACGAACCCAAGTGATGCGTAACTCACGGTGTGGTGTCCAGAACTTCCCTGTGAGTAACTCAGACATTCAAGTTGGCTTGTGCAGGAGGGAGGTTTGTGTGTGTGTGTGTGTGTGTGTGTGTGTGTGTGTGT